AATCAGTAGTAACATTCAGTAGCGGTCAAGGTACAATGTGTGTTGGGACACAGCAGTGAGGTATAAATGTCAATTTAAGTCAATATATCAGTCTAGAGGCTGGCCAGGGAACTATAAGATCAATAATTACAATCGGAAACCACTTTTTGCAGATCAAGGGCTGGTTACTTCTTCTGTACGCTGTCCTTAAAGGCCCACAGCTTTTCCCTGTGTGACAAACTAAAACAGTAACCAATGGCCTTCTCAGTTTCACTGATTCTCTTTCGGAAACGGTCTCTGTCCCGTGCAAACTCCTCCCATGGTCCCTTACGAGATGCTTGAAAAGCAAAGGACCAAGCTTGCATCTTGTGGACTTGTACGATGCGAGAAAATTTCACCTGGAAAACATAAGCAATATGCTGTTATCAAGCAATGACTGTCAGCTGACATGCCGTCTAAAGCGCTGTAAAGGTGCGGTCAGATTAGCGAATCTTTGGCAAAAATTTGCAGGCAAAAAGGTCTATGGTCTATTGTCAATAGTGTTGCGATGTATAAAGCACAGCTCATGCAAAAATCACTTTCAAACCAAGCAGCTTTCTGACGGTCAGTGTGGCGAGTCTGCGGGACCAACTTGAACCTGTGGCAAATTCTATATGGAGAAATCGAAATTCCCAATAGCAAAAATTCGCTGAATAACAGTGACCGCACCTACTGATAATTACCTTCTTAAAAGTGGGACATTTCCTCTGGTTGCCCTGAACAGCAGTCAGACCAACATGTCTTCCCCATGGCATCACTGATAATGTCTCAACGGGTAATTTGTGGCAGCAATGGCGAGCAACTTTACTTGGTGGTAACAGCGGCTTTGAGCGCCTTGAAGATTTTAAGAGTCTATCGGTTTTATTTTGTGTGTTGTCACTGGGCGAATCATGTTTTGAAGGTATTGGTGTAGCTGGTGAGCTTTGAAGAGGGGCTCTGAAATTCAGTGGATGATATGGGTCATCATTCTGAGAGAGGGACCTCCATAAGGCCTCTTCTTCGTCATCTTCAGAACCTGGTTTGGAAGAATCGGAGCCTGTAGACACAGTGGAATGTGATACAGTGGGACTTTCAGCCTTCGAAACCACCTGTGTTTTGCTTTTTTCAGGAACCGCACTGGACAAACATGCCTTGAAGTGTAGAGGGTGATATGGATCCGTTGAGCTGGTTAGAAGGTCCCAGAGTTTGTCATTCTCCTCCCGTTCTCCTTCAAAACAAGAGCTGTCTGTGCTTCCCCAGCTGAACTCACTGTCTGAGAACTGACCGACTGACTGCACTTGACATGGAGCTTGAACATCCTCTGTAGATGAACTACATGAATCTGGATCACCGATGGGCTTCTGATGCTTTACAAACTCCTTTGCAGAAAACCCGGACACATGTGCAGTAAACGTGCAGGTGTTCTCTGCGCATTTCCTCTCGGATCCTCCTAATATGGTCCAGTCGTATCCATGTTTCCACATGGAGTGATCTCCAATATAGAGATCTTCAGTGTCATTGAGACACTCTGTTGCGTGGGACACAAGGTCGTCCACTAAGGAGCAACAGAGTTCATCGCCGACCAGACTGGACAGGACAGCTCTGGAGTGGGAACTC